GGTGCAGTCTCACCCCAGAGTTTCTGCCCGCAGTTGTCGGGATCCGGTGCTCTCTGGACGTCTTGCCCACCTTTCTCTGGGCAGACTCTGGCCTGTATGCAACACATTCATAGTTCAGCCCTGGGGCCGAGGCCAGAGCTCCAGCCCGGTTCTGACCCCAGGGAAGCGGGTGGGACCATCACCTCCCTCAGGCCAGACCTTTTGCTTCTGTTTGTGCAGCTGGAGATGGTGTCGATGGTGTCGATGGTGTTGGGGTCCAGTGACCCCCACGCTGGGGGATTCAGGATCGCCAGGTAGAGAAGGGAGCCACCGTTGCCACGCACACCACATTCACCATCTAGTATTTATACAGCATGAAGTGGGGGAGAGAGAGTTTAACCCAAGGGGGAGAGCAGAGCTTTGGCACTGGATGGATTTCAGGGCTATTTTTCAGTAGTTATTATCTCGGGCAAATGAACTCAGTTTATTATCCAGTTAGATGAAGACAGTCAGAGACAATTGCAGGCTTCGTGGTGAAGATTGAATGAGATGATGGATGTCATGCCTGTAACCCGTTGCCTGGGAAGGAGTCAACAATCCGGTGGACGTCATTGCATTGTCATCCACACGCTGTCATCCATTGTTCTCCATTTCTGACACCGGGTTGGGGGGGGGCTTGAGCGCTGAGCTTCGGCCTAGGAAGAGGCAGCTGCCCCCGGCCTCATCCCATTGTCCCCTCCCCCCCGGCTCTGTGCGGGGGTGTGTGCGTGAGGGGACAGGGTGACAGGTCAGCGGGACCCTACTTTCCTGCTCCCTCCGCTCAGCATCTGCCAGAACCTTCTGGCCTCGCACCAGCCCTGCGTCCACCTGTAACTCACAGCAGCCCGGGGCCCTTGTCTGCCTTTCTTAGGTATTTTTTATCCTGAACCTTCTTTTATTCTTTATCAGTTTCTGTTCTAAATGTACACGAGAAGCTTCATGCCGGGGCCACACAGCCGCTGGCTAAGCCAGTGGAGTCTTCCCCTCAGAGATCCCCGGGTGCCTGACGTGCTGACGTGACAGCCAGCCAGACAGAGCCATTTGCTCTGCGGGTGACCGCGCCTCGACGCCACGGAGAGATAATGATAGCACTGCACCTTCCTCAGCCAGAGAATGAGCCGTCACTGCGTTTTCCCTTCATGCAGCAAAAATTAGCGGAAAGCCCTCTTAGGAGGCCTTAGTATTGTTTTTTTCATAATGACCTATCTCCACCTCGTGAATCACAGCTGGAGAAGGACTTTCAAACAGCCAGATATGGCAGAGAGGGGAGGGGCGCCATTTTCAAATGCGCTGTCAGCATCAGAGAGGGGAAGTGACTAGCCTGAGGTCACACAGCTACTAAACAGTAGAGACGGGCCTAGTCTATGAGCCTCCTGACCTGGTCTGCTGCACCCGGCTGCCTCCTTTTTTAGTTAAAAGTGTGAATTTTATATTTTAAAATTCAGTATATTTTAATGAATAGCCTGCAAATAAAGGAAGAAGGCTAGCTGCGCTGGCTGCTGTGTTTTTGTTTCCTGCCCGGAGCTGCTGACAGGTGAGAAAATGGGCAATCCTGTTCCTTGTGCTTTGGGGTTTGCAAAGGTGTCTCCTTCCTGGGCGTGGGCAGAGCCCAGGAAATCCCCACCATGGGGTCGAGGGAGAAGGGTGGGCTCTGGACTCCGGAGCTTAGTTTCTTTTCTAAATAGGCTTTATTTTCTGGGGCAGTTTCAGGTTTGCGGCGGAACCGAGGGGAAATACCGAGTTCCCATGTGCCCGTTGCTCCCAGACGTGAGCAGCCTCCCCCGCGGTCAGTGTCTGCATCAGAGTGGAAGGGGTAGGGCAGTCAGTGCAACCCGGATTCCATCGTTGACAGTAGGGTTCACGCCTGGTATTGTTTGTTCCATGGGTTTGGACAGACGTACAGGGACATGCGTCCACCCCTGCAGTTTCATACGGAAGGGTTTCACTGCCCTAAAGTCCTCTGTGCTCTGCCCATTCATCCCTCCCTCCCTAACCCCTGGCAACCACTGATCTTTTCACTGTCTCCGTCGTGTTGCCTTTTCCAGAATGCCGTACAGTTGGAGTCATGCCGTATGTAGCCTTTTCAGGGTGGCTTTTTTCACTTAGTGCTATGCATTTACGATTTCTCCTGTTTTCATGGCTTGATAGCTCATTTTTTTGCCTTTATCATGATAAAATATATGTAACAAAATTCACTATCTTTGCAACAGTTTTTAAGTTCAGTGGTATTAAATACATTCACATCCGGAACTCTTTTTATATGGCAAAACTGAAACTCTAAGCCCATTGAACAATAACTCTCCATCCCTCCAGCCGCCCCCAGCCCCTGGCAGCCACCATTCTACTTCCTGTCTCTATGATTTTGACTACTCTATATATCGCATACGAGTGGAATCATGCAGTATTTATCTCTTTGTGACTGGCTTATTTCAGTTAGCATAATGTCCCCAAGGTTCCTCTGTGTTGTAGCGCATGCCAGAATTTCCTTCTTTTGTAAGGTTGCATAATATCCCATTGTGTGTGTGTATATACCACATTTTGCTATCCATTCATCCATTGGTGGGCACTTGGGTTGCTTCCACATTTTAGAGATCGTGAGTAGTGCTGCCAAGCTCATTTCTTTTAAGTGCCAAATAATACTCCATTGTGCCACCGTTCACTTAGCCGTTCCCCTACTGAAGGACATGTTGTTGTTTCCAAGTGTTGGCAATTTTGAATAGAGCTGCTATAAACATTGATGTGGACATAGGTTTTCAACTCATTGGGGTAAATACCAAGGCGCATGATTGCTGGATCATGTGGCAAGAGTATGTATGTTTATTTTTGTGAGAAACTGACAAACTGTCTTCCAAAGTGGCTGTGTCATTTTGCATTCCCACCAGCAGTTTGAGGGTCCTTGTTGCTCCACATCCTCATTTGGTGTTAGTGTTCTGGATGTTGGCCATTCTGACAGGTGTGTAGTACAATTCCTTAATGACCTATATGTTGAGCATCCTTTCATAAGCCTGTTGCCATCTCTATGTCTTCTTTGGTGAGGTGTCTATTCAAGTCTTTTGCCATTTTTAAAATCAGGTTGTTTGTCTTCTTATTGTTGAGTTTTGTGAAGTCCTTGTATATTTTGGATGATAGTCCTTTATCAGATATGTCCCGGTCTATAGCTTGTCTTCTCATTCTCTTGATAATGTCTTTCACAGAGCACAAGTTTTTAATTTTATTGAAGTTCAGCTTGTCAATTATTTCTTCCATGGATCATGCCTTTGGTGTTGAGCTTGTCATGGCCATACTCAAAGTCATCTAGATTTTCTCCTATTTTATCTTCTAGAAATTTTATATTTTTATATTTTATATTTATGTCTATGATCCATTTTGGGTTAATTTTTGTAGAGGATGCAAAGTCTGTGTCTAGATTCTTTTTTTTTTGCATGTAAATGTCCAGGTATGCCAGCACTATTTATTGAAAAGATTATCTTTTCTCCATTGTATTGCCTTTGCTCTTTTGTCAAAGACCAGTTGACTATATTAATGCGGATCTATTTCTGGGCCCTCTATTCTGTTCCATACTTTTGCCAATACTACCTGTTGTGATTACTATAGCTTTATAGTAAGCCTTAAAGCTAGGTAGTGTCAGTCCTCCAACTCTGTTCTTTAATATTGAGTTGACTATTCAGGCTTTTTTTTTTTTTTTCCGCCTCTCCATATAAACTTTAGAATCAATTTGTTGATATACATGATGAAACAACTTTTGTTTAGATTTGATTGTGTTAAATGTATATATCAAGTTGAGAAGAACTAACATCTTGACAATATTGAGCCTTCCTATCTTTGAACATCAAATATCTCTCCATTTCTTTAGTTCTCTGATTGCTTCATCACAGTTTTATAGTTTTCCTTATATAGATTTTGTACATATTTTGTTAAATTTATACCTAAGTATGTCATTTCCTTGGGTGCTAATAGAAATGGTTTTGTGTTTCTAACTTCAGATTCTACTTGCTCATTGCTGGTATGTAGGGAAGCAATTGAATTTTGTATGTTAACTCTGTATCCCACAACCTTGCTATAATTGCTTGGTCAGGCCCTCTGTGTCTGTGGGTTCCACATGCCTGGATTTAGCCAACTTCAGATCAAGTTGGTATTTTGGAAAAAAAAAAAAAGCAATAAAAATAAAATAAAAATATCAATCAGTAAACCAACTATTTATATAGCATTTACATTATATTTGATATCATAAGTAATCTAGAGATGATTTAAAGTATACAGGAGAATGTATGTAGATTACATACAAATAGTATGCCATTTTATATCAGGGACTTGGGCATGAATGAATTTTGGTATTCTAGGGTGTTCTGGAACCAAGGGATGGATACCCCCATAGATATCAAGGGATGATTTGTATATATGAAGATATTTATTATAAGGAATTGGCTCATGTGACTATAGAGGCTGAGAAGTCCTAAGCCCTGCAGTTGGGAGGTTGGAGACTCAGGAGAGACCATGGTGTAAGTTCAAGTTCAAGGGCAGGAGAGGACCCGTGCTCCAGCTCAGGAAGTCAGGCCAGGGAAGTGCTCTCTTACTCAGCCTTTTTGTTCCACTCAGGTCTTCAGTTGATTGGGTGAGGCCCCCCACATTGCAGGGCTGCCTTCTTTTCCCAGTCTACCCACTCCAATGTTAATCCCACCTGGAAACACCCTCGGGGACACTCCCAGAATAACGTTTGACCAAATGCCTGGGCACCCCGTGGCCCAGTCAAGTAGACACATAAAATTAACTATCACTGCAGGGTGTTTGACACCTGGGGAAGATGATTCCTGAACACCCACCTCCCCTATACAACAAAACTGTTTTCAGCAATAGTGATGAAATAAAATCAGTTGTAACAGTGGCCAGAAAAGAAACGCAGACAGTGAAACTTTTAGTGAACTCCGTATGCATAACCGTGCCCACAATTAAACACATTAGGATGCCAAAAAAGGGAAAAAATCATGGGTTAACGCGTTTTAATGACATCAATGGATATTTTGACAAAAGAGAAAAAAAAATACGAAGAAACTTCCAATTCTGAACTCTGCAAAGTTCAGAGAGTGGTTGGCACAGGGAGCGGTGGCGTTGGCAGGAACCCAGACTCTGTGTGGTTGTCCTTGCAGTTGCAGTGCTGTGATTTACTTGAAATCCGTCGTCTTAGCGCCGGGATACCTGGTACCATAGGGGTGGAGACCCGAGCTGCCCACAGAGAACCGAATCTTGCTTCTCCGAGGGTGTGTGTCGCAGAATCTGCGTGTGTTGGCATCTGGCTGAACAAGTAGGTGCCCTCTGAATTCACATCCACGCAAACACAATGTGTTTTTAAATGCTAAGTAATAAAAATATGCTCATTTGAAGCTTGCGCACATGATTAGAACTCACCAGTGACTGCAGCCATTGTTTAGAACTTAGATCACCGCGAAAGATCTTTTTCAAAGCAGAGTGTTTTATCACCGACATCGTTTAGAGCTGTCAGCTTTTAGTGGGTTTTAGGTTTGCTTTTAAATTCCCTACAGGCGTTCCTCCCCTTGTTGCCAGCTCTGGGGAAGGACAGCTCCATTGCCCCGGCCCTGGAGTGCCCGCAGCGCCCCTGCACGCCCACAGCCAGAGATGCTTCCAGGAGGGTAGTTGTGGGGGGAGCAGGATGGACCTTGGTCGCAGGGTAGGGGAGACTCTGTGGCTGAGTCCTGCAACAGGACCGGGTAGTTCCAGGTGCAACAGATGGAGGCAGGACAGAGCCTGGCGTCCTGGGGACCCCTGGCTTCCTGGGGACCCCCCGAGTGGGTCCATATTTGGCTGCAGTCCCTGCAAGCCACCAGGGTTCAGCACCACCTGTGTGCCGTGCCTGGTGTCGTGGGGAGTCGGGCACTGAGAGCTTCGTCCTCAGAGTGGCACGAAGCCACGGTCCCCATGCCTGAGAGGGCTGCGAGGCTGCACCCCTCCCGGGGAGGTGGTCTGCCCCCCTCGGTGGGGTCCCCGCCTGCCCTCCCTCCCTCTCCATCCCTTTCCTTTCAGCGGCGCAGTCTGTGGAGGCAGCTGTTCTAATTAAAAAATCTCATAAATGCCAGGAGATAAGGATCCAGGGGTTTTGTTTTTTATTTCTGCCGAGACTCCCCAGAGGGTCTCTTTGGTAGGAAAGGTCCCTTTGGAGCTGAGATTTTCTCCTAGGCTTCAAAGACAGGGCTTCTTAGGCACAGGACAGCTGTTTAAACTGAACTTGAACCGAGAGGCTGGCGTCCCATGGGAGAGGAGGGGCAGAGCCGAGGGTGTGGATCTGGTTTCTGTCTCTGGGGGAGGCTCCCCGGGCTGTTCCTGCGTCCTGCGTCCCCACGCTGGGCAATGGCTCTCAGTAAATGCCGAGGACGTGGTAGCAGGGGACATCAGGACAGTGGCCAGGCTTCGTGCCTCCTGCTGTGCACATGGCATCCAGGCCCGTGACCGGGGAGAGGTGGCAAGGAGACCCCCGGCAACAGAGCTGGCTCCTCCTGTTCGGGAGGTCCCAGTGGTCCTCAGAAGTCTCTGTGCAGCTCAGGACTTCCCAGCTCTTGGCGGTGATGCTAACAGAGCCCCCTTCGCCCTCCCCACTTCCCTCCCTTTCTTCTTTTCTTCTCCCCTCAGTCATTCACGGAGCATCCGCTGAGGTTCAGAGATTAAAAACTCCCAATCCCGGACCTCGAAGTGCTAGCAATCTGATACAAACGCCAAGTCACTCTCAAAAGCTGAGACAAGTTGAGCACTTTGGTTGTGTGTGCCCAGCTGTTATTGTGAAGACAACAAAGCAACAATTCAGAGAGCTTGGAAAACGGAGGGAAAAGAAATCATTCACTTCCTCTCTCAGGACAAGAGGCTCTTTCGTTTCCTGCTTTTGTTCACACTTGGGCACGTGTTTGACAGTTGCCACCAGAAAGTCAGTTCAGTGTGGCTTCCTGCTCTCCTCTGTCCCTCCTTCCTGGGCGTCCCAGGGCTGGAGGGCCCCGGCTGTTGGAGATGCAGTTGGTGGGGGTGGCTCCCGTGTCCCCTGTCACCTGCATGCCCTGGGAAGGGTGCCAGGTCTAGCTAATGAAGTCACGGTCTGCCCTGCTAAATTTGAACATCCTGCAGACCAGGAATCGATTCTTACTAAAAATCTGCCCCATGTAATATTTGTTCCACGTACTATTTGAGGCATTAACCAAAAGATTATTTCTTGTTTATCTGAAATTCAAACTTAACTGGACCTCCTGCATTTTATCTGGCAACCCTATGCATGGATATCTTTTCGCATGTGTGTGGTCAACGCTGCTTTATTTAATGGTGGAAAAAAAACTATCTGGCTGATATGTTTCCTTTCCCCTTTCATGGGGAATGCTCTCCCTAACTTGAATCTCTCCTATTTTTTGCCCACACCTCTGTACTGCTCTGCAGTTTAGCATATTTGGAGGCCCCTGCATCCGGGTGGGTCCCCTCTAGGTACACCCCATCCCCAGCCTCCTTCTGAGCCTGCAGTGGCTGCAGATAACCTGTTTGCTCTCTCTAGGGGGCCAGAGGGATGGTGGGAGGTGTGACTTAATCCCTCTCCGGCCTCTCGCTCCAGCCTGCACCAGCCTCTTTGGCAGGATGGAAACAGGAATTGCGTTCTCGCCGTATTGGAGGGAGCAAGGGTTTGAGGGTGTTTGTCCAGGCTGCAAACCCACAGAGGTTGATGACATCTTTCTTTCCATACGTGAACTTATTTTTCATGCCAGGGCAGCTTCAGGGTGATAAAAATATAAAGCGAAGTGGCAGACAGTAAAAAGAAAAAAAATAAAAGTGATTGGAAGCTGGGAAGACAGGGTGTTGCCTTGTGGTTAAATGGATTTTCTGTTTAACTGAGGGTTAAGTAGAAAACTTGTTTTGATTCAACCTCTGCTGCTGCCAATCTCTCTAAAACGTATTAGCCAGCTCCCTGGTTTTCCTAAGTGCACCGTAATGACCATAATTGAATCTCCTCGCTGGCGAAGGATCCTGTGGGGTGTCCAGGCGCACTGTTGTAAATGTCAGTCCTCGCCGTGCAGTCCTGTGTTCTGGCTTTGGAGCCGGGGCGTAGGCGGGGGTGCTCTGCAGCGGCCCGTCCCACCCGCTGCCGTCCCATTCTGTCTGCCCAGCGAGCCTGGGCTGCCGCTCAGGGCGGGCAATAATAAGACCATTGCATGGATGTGGAAACTGACGCCCACCTGGTGAAGGACTTGCCCAGGTCACATTTGGCTGCTAAGGTGCTGGGCCTGAAGCCAGCAGAGATGGCTGTGGTGTTGGCCCTGGTTTAAATCCTGCCTCTCACTTGCTGGCTGGGAGACCATTATTAAGCTTCATGAGCCTTGGTTTGCCCGTCTGTGCGTTGGGCATGATAACCTGTCCTTGCAGAGCTGCTGCTGGAGTGAGGTAAGGGTGTAGGTGCACCGCACACCAGGGCCTGCATATGTTTAAAGGGAAAAAAGCACCTCTCCCTAAAATGAAATCACACACAGCTGTCCTGGGACCTTGCATTTGGCTCTCTCCATTCAGCTGCGCTTCCTCCTCTGAGCACTGGGGTTTTACACGCAGACTCTGGAGCCAGAATGTCTGGGGTTGAGCCCTGACTCCGCCCCCAGCGCCCTGTGTGACTCCAGTTCTGGGCCTCAGTTTCTCGCCTATAAAGTTGGGATCGTAATAATAACCCGCTCCGAGGACTACCAGGAGGGTTCAAAGGTAGGAAGCCAAGGAAACGCTATGTCGGGGTCCGCCATTGTCATTCTACGATTTGGTTGAGTCCGGGCTAAGCAGGCTTCTCTGGATTTGGTTCATATTCTGAGCATTTTAACGGGATTGGGCTTTGGGCCTAAGCTCCCTGTTCGTGCCCCAGGAGTTTGCACGGGCAGCCTGGGGAGGAGGAACAAAGGAAAGACATCCCCTCTCTTGGGAAGGCTGAGGCCACCTCGCCTGGCTGCTGGGCTGCTGGGCTAGCCTCTCCCTGGGTCCTCCAAGCCAACTTGCTTCAGCTCCTGGTGACCCGCACCAACTCCTGCTGAGCCACTGCCTCGCTCTCCAGCTCACCCGCTTCTGGGCACCCCCGCCCCCGGGACTCCGCGGGGATGGGCAGGTTGCAGCTCAGTAAATAGTCACTCTGTTATTTTAGGAGAGGAACAACAGCCTGTGTGCATAGCCCCTGGGTAGGGCTGGTTTATTTATGCGTTTATCTTTAATGGGAAGGCTGAGAGAAATTGCATGGTTTGTGAATATTTACAGGCAAATTACTACAGGGAGGAAATGAATTCATTCTCTCTCCTCTCCCACTGTTAATAGATCACACTGTGGTTCCCTGAAGCCTGCCTCCCACACCCCTCCTTCTCTTTCTTGTAATTCCTTGTAGTCTTTATGCCAGCTCCAGGAGGGGTGTCTGGGTAGACATGCCAATGTAATTTACGATGCATTTATTGAGTGCCTGCTGTGTGCCAAGCCCTGGTTCAGGGGCTGGGGGTATCGAGGTAGACACCATGTGCATGGGTTCTGTCCGCTCGGCAGGGGCGATGCCACTTGTTTTGGGCTTTAAAGGATCTTCATTTCCCCAGCAGAAAGGGCACCCCAGGCAGAGGGACTGGCACAAGCAAAGCCCTGGAGAGGTGAGCAGATGGGAGTCGCTGGGGACTCAGTGAGACTCTGGAGTGGTTGGAGCACCCGTGGGAGGACGGAGGGGGAGGGAGAGCTGGAAATGGAGGCTGGGCCTGATTCTTCCCGTTGCCGAGCTGAGGAAAGAAGGTGTGGAGAAGGGAGCCACTGTCCAGGCTGCCCAGTTCCTGCAGCTGGCCGGTGCAGTTCCTACACCTCCAGTTTAAGGCTCCGAGTGGGCAATAACAGCCTCTTCTGGGGCAAGGGGAGTTTCTCCCTCACCGCCCCTTTCCTTGGGGCCAGGCTGCCCTCCTCCCTCCTGTCTCCTGGCAGGCATCACTAATCAGCTGTGGCCCTTTAGGATAAAGCCCACGAGCCAGGCACTACCAACCGATTCAAGCTGGCCTTCTCGGAGGCAGGCAGAGGGCACAGCTGCACCACAGGGCAGACGGCAATGGATTTGTGATGAGGAAATTGCCTTTTCTCTTTGGGCCTCAGTTTCCTCACCTGTAAAATGGGGAGAGGGATGGCTCACTTGATCTCTGAGGATCTTCCCAGTGCTAGCCGGCCAGCCTTTGTTAACCCAGGCGTTTGCTCATTCCAGAAAGCATTAGGTGCGCCTACTCTGGCTGGCGCTGGGTGGGGCCCTGGGAATCCACTGGTGGTCCAGGTATCGGGGACCTGGCCTCCGGGAGCCGATGGTCCTGGTGGTCTGTGGTTCTTAGGGCCTCAAGTGTTGAGGTCAGCTGAGACCAAGGGCAGGGCTGGCCTTGACTCTTCCAGATAGATGGAAGCCAGTGTGGCCACCTGTCCAGTGGCTGGGG